GGAGTAAAATGCTGTTCAGTGCTGAACCTCTGGGCCTCTTGCTGAAGACCCATCCACAGGGCTGCTCAGGGCAGGGTGAGGAGGAGGAGACGGAGGAGGAGGAGGAGGAGGAGGAGGAGGAGAGCGGGGATGGTGTTCAAGCGCAACAGATAAATCTGCAGTACCTTGGAGAGCTCAGCCATGGGGAAACCAGGTGGAAGACATGCAGAGTCATGCCTATGTTAGAGAGATTGCAAGGCGGCGCACTGTACATTTCAGAGTCTGAGGCGGAATCTCTAACCACACTGTCCTTGCACTTAACGATATACTGAAGACTGAAGACGCTCATCCTCCAAGAAAATGAGATAAAGACTCAAAACCCAAAGCAAGACTGCAAAAGCGGGGACAAATGGGGGGCAGCTCAGTAGGGCGTAAATCAGGCCTCATAAAGAATATCTGCTAGTCCTCTGTAAGAATCTTCCTGAAACCTAGCACACTGCTAAAATTTCTTGGATTTCTTGCTGACCCAAAATTATATCTGCATTCAACAGAGTTTGCAAAATTTTTAGCACCACTGGCTGCAGGTTGCATGGTGTCTGGCTTAAGTTAGAGCTTTAGGAACTCTCTGCTTTTCTTATTGTTTCAAGCTATACCTTAGCAAAGAAGGTGTGAGTGGTGTTTTACTTTTCTTTTCAGATTCCTTAGAATCTGGAACACAACATAAAACCAACAAATGAATCCTTGCAAAACCAGATGAGGAAAAATAAAACAGCTGGCACAAAACCCCACAAACTGAAAACATATTTTCTGCTTTACTAATGACAGTGAGCTAAAGCAATAGGTATTCCTGAAATGAAACGGAGAGTGTTTTAAGATGGAGTTAAAATACAGGAAATGACAACTGAAGCAGGCGAGATATCCCAGGGAGAGGGAGAAATTTAACACATACAGGACAAACACAGCTTGCACGCCAAGAAACACGCAGAGACTAAGACACAATGGATGATGTTAGACAGGTGGCAGAGGCTGACCATAATGACCAGAAAGTTTTCTTTTTAAATTTAGCACAAACGCAAATATAATAATAACAGCAATCACAATATGGAACACATGAAATCCTATCACACCGAGAGATTGAAGCTTCTTTTTTTTATTCATGGCACTATTGCACATTCACATCTCTCTGGTCTGTATCTTACCTGGAGGGCCTTGTTGACCAGGCTGGCCTGGGGGGCCAGGGATATACGCGTTAGATGCAAGCACTTTCTCACCAGTGATTTGCTTGCTAAGATCAGCAGCGTTATTTGGTAGCAAAGCAACCTGCCAAAACCAAAAATCACTGTAAACCCTTCACTGTTCAGCTGGATAAATTACATTCTTGGTTATGCTTTCATGTGGACAAACAGCATATTTAAATACTTCAGGAAAATATAGAATGTTTAATCATATCCTTCACTGAAATCATCAGAATAAAATGTTACTGTATGAGGCTGTTCACTTTTCAAGTCACTGTGGATACACTGCAAGTCAATCCAAATAGAGGGCAGGAGAAATCCAGGAGAGATACAGCAACAAGTTGTCAAAAACTTAAGTCTCGTAACTGCTCGGGTCTTCTCAGGAAATGTCTTCTTCTTTCTTTGAAGTTTTCTCTATTCATTTACTGCCCTTCCTCAGGGAAACATTTGCTCAGATATTTAAGTTCTCAATCGCTGCACAAACCCCTAACTTTTCAGAGGTTTCAATGAGAGCCCCAAATTCTTTGTGTATCTGGCCTTGTAATAATATTATTTAACCCAACAGATGTCTGGATCTGCTCTGCATAGAGACACAAAGCTAAAATAAGTGAAAATGTACAGAGAATTGCACACTATAGTTTAAAATGTCATTATCCATTACATCAGGCGTTTAATTATCCGCTAAACATTAATCTGCCCAGACTGAATATATATAATAATTAAACATATTTAGAAATATTCTGCAAATGTTTAGCCTCTCCAGAGGCAGCTGAAGGGAGATGACAAGCCAGGAGGCTGTTCTGCAGTGAAGAAAGAAGTTTATTAGTGGTGAGTGGATGCATGTAGAGTTGGGAATTTTGCTCTGCCAAACAGAACTGAAGAGCTATTTCAGCAATACCAGGGCAGATCTATCCCCGGGTCAGGTTTATTGCTGCCCTGAATGAATTTGGCTCACTGGATAGTTTGATGCTGGATTTAGCAACATTTTTGTGGGAGAGCTGCATTAAATAAAATACATGATAACTCCGGCTATCTGACAATGCTTTTAATCAGCTGTCTGGAGTTCCCTGCACTGGACTGTTCTCAAGACTCCTACTTGTTTCTGTAAGGGTTTTATATAGACCCTCTTGCCCTTAGTGCAAACCTTCTGTTTGTAATGCACAGGAAAAAAATAATGGTATGCACTTGCAGTACATACTGTAACTGGGCAAATTTCTTTTGGCAAACAAGTTATTAGTTAAGGAATTCACTTTAATGGCAGTCACTGCTCCTTGCAGTTTGGGTTTGGATGCACAGAACAGTTCTGAAGGAAGCAAAAGTGAGAAAAAAAAAAGTTAGAAATGTTGAGACAGTTCCTGGTGACATTTCCGAAACACCAGTTTGATTTTTCAGTCTGGAATTCAAAATGTGATGACAGGAATACAAGGATTTATCAGCCATTTGTGACTCAGGTTTTGGAGAGCAGTGTTGTTCCGATGACAAGATGACTGCACTAAAGGCAAATTAAGCGACATGATGTAAGTCTTACAAGAATTTGGTAGACTCACTCCACTCCCACCGAAATCAGTGGCTGGATGAGGTCAGCACTTCACAGAAGACCCACAGGGTGTTTCTTATGTGCTTACTCCTATGAATCTGCTCACATACAAAATGGGGATCCAGCACACCTACTGGTATGCCCTTTGCGCTGTCATCTTTGGTTTTCCAAAGGAAAAACATCTGCTTTGTTTACCAATGACCCTGCAGCTTTCTCAGCCAACATCCCTGTCATGGCAGCACAGACAAAAGCGTGGGACTGCTGAAGATAAAAGGCTGCTCCATGGGTCACAGCACCTTACACCTGGGGCTGAAGAGGAAAATTCAAGTAGCTGGGGGCTCTCATAGCCACATTGGCCAAGGACCAACACGAGGAGGTCCACTGGCCGGCTCTGGTCAGCACGCTATGAAGTTTTGTTTCCCAGAGGTGCGTCCACCCTGTCCAGAGCAGCATCCTGGCTGGATAAAAATGGAAGGTTGCAAGGACCATCATGCTGAAAAACTTCCATTACGTGAGACAAATCAAACAAGGCCTCTGCAGTCCCAACACTGCCATGACATAACCGAGACACAGAGTTAAATCCTGTGACTACCTGAGAGCGTTATATTTTTCAGGCAATTGTGAGAAAATTTGCCGTGTCATCAGTGAGTGTTTCTCCTCAGGGGTGGCCATAATTAAGTGACAGATTAATTGATATCCTCTTTAAAGCCTGTATTTAAACTTCTGACCAGATCCTATTTTGGGGATCTACTGCTATCCCAGCTGATAAATAAATGTCACTTAGTATATAGTCCCTGCCATGAATACTCTTCAGGTTATATTGCAGATGGCCAGGCTGGAGTGAAAAGGTGCATTTAGTGGCAAAGACGCATCATGAAGAGGATCTGGAAATGTATTCTTTTCTGTTGCTTAAATAGTGACTTGTTCCTGCCAGCAAGGCTGTTGTAACAACTTAGGAAGTTTTTTAAAAAAATCACATAGCTGCTGTTAAAGCATCTACACATGCTTCCCCACTGAGTCAGCTGGAATTGAGGCATACACTATGAGTGCCAAAATACCCAGGCTCTGGTCTAGCTCACTGCTCTTTGATATCTTCTGGCCAGAAAATGGTTGTTACATACACTGGGGCCAAACCATGTGCTTTTGATGTTGACTCACATCCTCTTAGGGATTGGCTATACTCACCGGCCTAATTTCTATTTCACCTTTTAACTGAACCAGGATCCTGGTCCAGAGTGACCTTGGCTTTCTCCATCCACAGCTCCAAAACTTAATGGGCCTTGGAAAATATGTTTTTTTTCCATGTGCGTGCAAATATTAGTGAGGGTAAATTTTAAAGAAAGGGAGTACTAGAAACAAGACTCCCATATGTTGTGTTGCATGCTGCACCTAGAGTTTTTGGTAGTTTCTGGGAGATCTGTGCTTTAGACGATTTGGACTGTGCTGGACAGGAGTGATGTGGAACATGGCATTCTAATTAAGATGTTTAAACACATGTGTGCAATAGGATCCAGCTTACTTGATTTTTTTTTTTTTTTAAATTGTTGGCTGTGTGTCAACATGTCAGATATCTTTCCCTCAGTTTTTTAGCTTTCCACTCTTCTTCCTTCTGGCAAGGTCTGAGATCAACCTAGGGCTGCCCAAAGCCCTCTAGTATATTGGAACAGTGCATCCCACTGATGACCATGCAAGGGGACTTTCTGTTCCTGATCCTAGAACTACTCTGTCCTGGATCTGGAATGGATGTTGCAATCCTCCAGAAAGGTACTGGTGTCATCACCAGAGGTGGCAGGACTTGAGTTCAGCCCTGTCCTTTCCTAAGGAGACACAGAACCACACCTCCCACTTCCAGAAGCACACACCAATTCCCAGTTGTAGGGTTTGCTGGATTGGATCCTTCACAGACTCTACTGCTAAACATAATTTTGCATAAAGTTCATAGAATCTGAAAGCCTTAACCACAAGACTGAAGACTCATTGCCATAAACCATCTCTCTGGCAGACAGAAATGAATTTTTCTGTGCAAAACAGAACAGCTTCAACCACAGATACTGAGAGACGTCCTCCCCAGAAGAACTTGCCCATGGGGACCGGCTGGTGAAATACCAGGGTTCATGTCTCACTGGGCAAAGAAGCAGCATGAGGCCAGATCTCTGCTCAGCATGGACAAAAGCTCTCATCCCTGTTGGGTAAAAAATGCTGAGGGTACCAGGGGACCATCTCTTCCAGCTCTGCCTGTGTGAGGCAGAACACAGTGGGCTCCCCCTGAGGACGAAAAATAGATCAAGTCCCACTAGGAAGACACTTGGGGAAAATTTAGGCTGTGGACCATGACAGGACATTCGCTATGAGGCTAGAGCGAGCTGCTTAGTTTGGTCACAGCTACTGTACAAGTGCCCACAGCGACAGGTATCGATGGCGTTCATTTTCCAGAACTGAGTTTGAACACAGACACCTAACAGTGGGAGTGAGACATGGAAGAATTCCCATTAATTCAGGCCATTGGCTTCCATCGATTCTTGCAGCAAACAACTTGGCCAACAGTGTGACCCCAGAGCCCTCCCTGGGGGTCAGTGTGAGCCTACTCAGCATCACGGACTGCGGCTGGACAAACAGCCACTCAAAAGCATCGATCCTTTTTTAACCTGTTTGCTACCGTTGGTTTGAAAGACAGAATTTCCATCACACATGAAATGTTGTCACTTCCACATCTGTCTTCATGCTGATTCAGAAGGAAAACATGACATTTTGAGATTTTTGTGACAATGAATATCTCAAACTTCCGTGCATTTAATTTTAGTGAAGCAGACTTCTTTCTTCCTAATATAAATTACATTGAATGAATAACTTTAAATGCAACAAGCGAGTATACCAAATTGTGTTTTGACACAATTAAATTAAATGAGCACCCTGGGTGAAATAATTACAGCCTGTCAGCATGCATTGCTGAGAATATTCCTGCAGAACATTTCCATTTCAGAGAATCTTAATGTTTGAAGGAGATGTCACCAGAAAAGGCATTACACCTGCACCCCTGCGCTTGGCTCTCCAAATCCTGGGGTGGGTCTCTGGGTTATTTCAATCCTACTCAAGTGCAGAAGGGGGCCACATACAGAAGTGATTAAAGTTAGAGGCCAGGGGAAGATTTAAGTGCATTATTCTCAGCTTGCAAGGACACAGGTGAAAACAAAAAAGGCTGGGGATAAGGGTTTTTCTTTTTAAAAGAATTAAAGGTAATGTATGCGCTAGTGATGTTTGTGTCTAGCCACGCACCTCCTACTTGGCAAGAATCCTGTATCAACACCCTATTAATGCAAAATCATATTCTCCCATGTTCCCGCATCTGCAGAATGTCTTGCGCGTGCATACACTGAAGGTGGATCAAGTCCAAAATCCCGTGCATTCAGAATGAATGAAAAGCTGTGGCCAGCGCAGACTGCCAAGAAACCTGGGCTCAGACTGGGATGGGTCTTTGCCAGACTGTGTTACCAACCTCGTGGTTACCAGCCACGAGCTTGGTTAGCAATCTGCTTACAAGCCATACAGAAGCATAAGGAAGAGATGGCATTCCTAGATGATTTTAAAATACGCTGCCATCATCTTTGTGGGCACAAGAGCCACATGGCAGTGACAGCTCCAAACATTTAAATTTAACCTCAGGTGTCATAAAACATGCGGGTCTGGTAAAGACATGACTGATCAGTGTTCATACCTTTTGCTTCAGTTGTAAAACCGTCTGCTTAATTTGATGAAATTCCTTACAAGAGGCACAGCATGTCCCTGATTTCGCCACATTTTCAGATTTCTCAGGAAGCCCAGCTGAAAGAAAGCAGTTTCCAATACAAATATAAAGATCCAAAGCAAAGAAATTCATAAAGTGATTGCAAAAGCAACTTGAAGGTTGTTACATTTCCCCAGACTGTGAAAAGAGGAGAGCATCTTGCCATTATTAATGCTTTGACTGTGAATTGCTATGTAAGGCTGAGAAACTTCACAGGGACAGCTCTGAGCTCATTTTTAAAGCAGCTGTTTCCACTTAACAGTCCCCAAAGAATTTCTTTTTTTAATGCCTGAAAAAGTTTACACCCCTTCTTTTATCTTTGTGTGTAGGGTAGACTAACCCTATAGATCTGAATTGATTTACAGTCCCCCAAAGGGCAAATTTTCATATGCTGTAAATTACAGTAAAATCCCTCACAATATGGTCATTTCATTCACTTTGCACAAACTGCTCTTCATCATCGCCAGTTATTCCTCCATGTGATGGAATCAGCCTGAGCAGAGATGGGGATTGAGATTAATGACAGGGACTTAAATCCACACAGCAGAAAGGGTCACACCTGTTGGTACTACGCATGAATGGGATCTTTTCAGGAATCCATTAAATTATTCAAACCATAAGCTGTATTGCAAATGTTATTTTTTGTCCTTTTCCCATTCTCATATGCAGTGAAGCATTTCTGCATCGCAAACAAACAAGCACTGTTTCAACAGATGTTCACTTAGAGAGAAATGTGATTTCTAAAACACAGGGTGACACATACAGGCAAACTCTCGGTGAGCTTTTCTTTCACGTACAGTTGTTGAGAAGCATCAAGTGTATTGGGGCCCTGCATACGATGTGTGGCCTTGTACAATGCTAACTGGAAGGGTCATTGGACATGATGGAACACTGACCATTCAGACCATGTCCAGTAATGGCAAAGTGCTGCATGTGCTGCCGGTTAAAGCCAAAATCTTCAAAAAGGCTCAACTACAATGTGTTTGTACTATGCTTCTCACTTGGACACACGCTTTAATGTCCTTCATCTTTTCAGGAATGTGTATTGATTTTGAAAACATATGCATCATTTTAAATAAAACTGGAACTTTCTAATACTAAAGATATGTGGTACTTAACCTTAAATGTTTGCAGGGTCCAGTAAGGAACATTGCACCCTTCAGATGGTCATCTACGGACCACCATTTCACAAATTTAGGAAAAACTGATTTTCAGTACATTTAGTCCACTGGATATAATGCCACGTCGGGTATGCTTGCTTTTAGAAGACAATCCAGGAGTGCAGCATAAGCTGTGATCTACCTGGCTGGGGAGCAGCTCTGTGGAAAGGGACCTGGGGGTCCTGGTGCACAAGAAGCTCAAAATGAGTGAACAGTGTGTTGCTGCTGCAGCAAAGAAAGCCACCAAGATGCTGGGTTGCATCTAAAAGGGCATCGCCAGCAGTCATAAAGAAGTCATTACCCTACTCTGCTCAGTGCTTGTCAGGCCGCACTTGGAATACTGTCTTCAGTTTTGGTCCCCACTATCCAAAAAGATGTGGACAGGCTGCAGAGGGTCCAGAGCAGGGCCACTAAGATGGGCCACCATCTCCTCAAGGACTGGGAAGCCTGCCACATGAGGAAAGGCTGAGAGAACTGGGTTTGTTCAGCCTGCAGAAAAGAAGGCTTAGGGGAGACCTTACCACCATGTTCGAGTATTTAAAGGGTGGCTACAAGGAAGATGGAGACTCCCTTTTTACTAGGAGTCACATGGAAAAGACGAGGGGTAATGGGCACAAGTCACTCCAGGGGAGATTCCGATTGGACACAAGAGGAAAATTTTTCACAATGGGAACAATCAGCCATTGGAATAATGTCCCCAACAAATGGTGGATTCCCCAACATTGGACACTTTTTAAGATTCAGCTGGACAGGGTGTTGGGCCATCTTGTCTAGACTGTGCTTTTGCCAAGAAAGGTTGGACCAGATGATCCTTGAGGTCCCTTCCAACTTGGTATTCTGTGATTCTATGAGAGGTTTATTTCTCTTCCCTCCTAATCAGGTAGGTGAGGGCTGCAAGGGCAAGATGCTGCAATGACCAGCAGCAGTTAAACATTGTATTAACGCTGAATCAGAATTGGTATTAACGCATGATCACAAGATTATGAAGCAAAGGCTTGGGGGTCTTCCCCACTCCTCAGCTGCCTGCTCCCACAGCTGCAGTTCTTTGACGTTACAATAACCTATGATATTCCTCTTTATTTTATTTAACATTTTCATGACAGTAAGCATACTGCTCTTCTAGGCCCTTTCTGATAGCGCACAGCTTGGTAATACCTAAACAGCTTTCTGTACAGTATTCAGATGGCTCAAATATTTAAGGCCAAAAGGTACTACTTGGAGTTTTCTGATGAACTCTACATAACATATAATAGAATGTCACCAAACTGTAGCTCTGCTAGCTCCAAGAATATTTGGCCACAACATCTCCCAGAGGGACTCCAGCCTTTGGGTGAAGATACCTGAACACACAGCATCTGCTTGTTCCCTTCCTCACCGCTGTGTTTCTAATGCTAAGCATTTTGCCTTTGGTTTCTTCCAAAGCCTCTTTTCCCGTAAGTCTTTCTCTGATAGATCAAAGAATCTGCAGCACACAGTGGTTTTTTCTTCCCCTTAACAAGGAATTGATATGCTGTAATCAAGACACCTCTTGATATTTCTATAACGTAAGTTTTCTCTTGACCACAAGTCAGTATTGTGGCTCCCTCATGGAGTTCTTCCTCCCTCTCCAATTTTTCGGCTTCCTTTAATAAAACCAGTGATTTGACATGTCCATTTTGACAATCCATGTAGGATTTACAGAGGCACATAGATAGAGCCATTAGAAAAAATGCCTTTTTTTTTTTTTCAAACTGCAATAAAGTTTGGGTTTGGTACTAGTCTTAACCAAAATTTCTTTTAATAGCTGTCTTACCAAATGAGTTCCCTCATAACATGCACTCATTGTGTTAGGAAATGTTGCTGAAAGCAACGTACAGTCATAGGGAGAAACTGCCAGTGCCTCTGCTATTTGAAACCTAATGCAATCCCACTAGAATCAGTGGAATTACGTGCAGATTAAGAAGCGGTGAATCTGGCCTCGTGTTTCATTATAAAATCCAGTTTATCTTCCAGAAGGATGTGGTACACGGGGCTGACAAGTATAGATAAAACAGGGCTGTAACAATCCATGGACATGAATGCGGGGTGGGATGGTGGGTGTCAGCTCATGTTTGGGAAATATCATACCAGTGAGATTTCTGCAAATCCAGTTGGATTGACTTGTCGGAGGAAGAAGTCCAACAGCATCACATAAACGAGCATGAGCTGTGTCCCAGGAGAGAGGTGGAATCCCCCTAACTCATACCAGACAGAGGTGATGATTTGCCCAGAGAAGGAGTCATCCATCAAACATTCACTTTACCCCCATCTGATCCTGTATCACGACCAAACCATGAATAAAGCCAGAACAAAGCATAGATAAAGCCAGGAGCCACCTAGGACAGGCCAGAGGGGGCAGGAAGCAATTAGATGGAGCCACCCATGTGCCGTGCAGATACGAAGGTCACCTACGAGGGTCAGTTTGGCCAGCACTGAGCAAGGCACTTACATAGCCTGTTTCCATTGCACAGACCTACACCAGGAAAGTAAAATTATTTCAGAAAAGGCTTAAACCGGCCCCATTTTATGAAGGGCTTCTAAAGCATGAAGTCTAGCTCATGCATAACGTTGCTATCCTGACGGGGGTCCTTTCATCTTGGCGAGACACCGGTGAGCCCCACGGTGCCTAATCGATAAGAGATCTGCTCGGCAGAGCAATGTGTTTTCTTTGCATGTGCTCGAAGACTCTGTCTTGCTGACGCTGGAAAAGGAGGAGATGCTGGTGGGGGAGAGCTCTGCGGGGAGCTGTGCCGCGGGCGGTCTTTGCATGGAGACTGTTGAGTTGATCATCTGTGTTGTATTATCTGGGCTCAGACTGCTGAGATGGTTTCATTTGCCTACTTCAGCGTGGGTAGCTGTATTGTGTCCGTCAAATGCAACATGACTGCCTACGCGGGAAAAATGCTCCCTATTCTTGTGCGCCACTCACAAACCCAAACCTCTCAGTCAAACGCGCTTCTAGAGTCAAAAAAGTGCCTGGATTACAACCTTCAGGCGTGGCATGATGAAAACATGAATAATAATCCCCCAGGAAACATGCAACGTGGTTGAAGACGGAGCAGGATACGTGTGGTTTCATGTCTCTCACACTAAATCTTGAAATAAAATGTAAGTGTTTCAGCTGCCATGAAAAGCAAATAATCTGTTTATTAGGAAGGAATTCCAGCGCAGATGCGGTGCTCTCCGGGGCGGTGCAGGGCTGGGGCTGACCACGGGGTGGTGCGTCGCTACAGCTGGTTACTCTCAGAGCTGCCGAAAATCTTGATTTCCTTTGGGATGAGCTGCGGACACAAGCCCTGCGGAATAGCAGTGGCCAACTCCTCTTTCATTTGCAGCATGGGTCTGGTAATTAGCAACATTACCTTGGAGTACAGCAGTTCAGCAGAGCAGAAAGCGTCCTCCTCTGCTTCACACAGCTGATTTGGGAAATGTTTGAGTGATGGTGGGTATTTCATTTCAGATTAAGTACTGGAACTGACATTTTTATGTGCCGTGTACATTTAGTGTTTTTCAAATATTAGAGTTATTTCCACAGCCTTGAATATTTTGAATGGTCTGTTATCCTGAATACTTTGGGCATTACCCTGTCAGGAAATTTGAATTAGCCAGAGGAAAAGTTAACTAAAAATCCTATTTGTTGGGGGATTATATAGGTTATGCCTCTTTCCTTTATGACCCCCATGCACTTACAAGGAAAAAAAACATTTTAAAACTATGAGGAACAATTAAAGTTAATGGAGTGGCTCCAGTTACACATTTTCAGAAGAAAATCAAAATTATAAATTGTTCTGGCCATCCATCGGGATTTAGAGCACCCAATGATACATGTGTTCAGGCATTAATTGATGAACCTGTGGTAAGTCGCCATTCATCAAGAGTTGTTTTTCTTTTTCCGGAGCATGGGTTATTTTCTTCTTCCTTTCTTTTTGAATTGTTCTATCAGTATTTAATTTGCAGTACTCTAAATGCTGTAATTTAACAACTGGGATGAGGTCAAAAATTAAAATCATTTATACACAGCACACACATCTACATTGAAACCAACAGTGAAAAGCAAGAACAAGCCCTCACTTTTACCCCTTTCCCATCACATATTACTTTCATTAAAAAAAAGAAAAAAGTCTGACCGCAGTCACGAGACACACAAACTAATTGCAGATCAGCAGAATTCAGCGTTACTCAACATAATTTAGCAATTGATTTAGGCAATGCTTGAAAGGTGCGTGGAATTCCCAGGCACACCTCTCCTGAGCCTCTGAGTGCCCAGCGGCACTAACCACCCAGCCCAGGGCCATTTGCCAATCTCAGATGTTGGCACGTAAATACAAATTAAACTCACTGAAATTAATTTAATTAACAGATGAAATTAATGAAGGCTTATAAGGGTCAGCATCTGGCGTTCCCCCCCCACCCCTCCGTGTCTCCTGAGCTCTGGACTGCAAACTAGGTATAATCCAGGTTGGTATGGGAGCAAAATACGTTTTTTAGCAGTTGGATCAAGGAGAAATGGTCTAACCGAAGCCATAATGGCAAGTTTCACCGATCAGCCACTCTGCCTCTCCAGGGGAAGATCCTTTCCACGTCCTTCAGTGAACTTGTGCTCTTTCTTTATAGGTGTGACTACTGATTTACTGCTGTGTGCGTGCAGCTCATAAACCAGGGAGGAGAGCGTGCCGCGGGACCGCTCCGCAGGCACTCGGGTGCCCAGTGAACAACCCGGGGTCTCCAGGGGCATCACCTACATCACCTACATCCCAGCTTCAGACCCCCAGCCCCAAGTGTAGCACAGGGAGCAGTTCTCCTTTACGACAGACCAACTTTTTATATGCCGCTTTGGGTCAGGACCTTTACCAGCACCTCCCCCAACTAGTGTATATACCTTTATCCCCTTTGGTGCACGTCTTGCCGTCCGCCTCCCGCGTGTAGCCTTCGTGACACTCGCACCTGTAGCTGCCCATGGTGTTGACACAGATCTGAGAGCACAGCGTCCCGTTGCTCGTGGCACACTCGTCGATATCTGGAGAGGAGCAAGAGCTGAAAACGCCCTGCAGCTGGAGGTTTCACACCGCACACGCAATAAAAGGGTACCAGGAGATTTAAAGGTACCTTTAAAGGTACCAGGAGATTTTGTGGCTAAATAAATGAGTAATTGCGGCACCGCTGGTGCTTTGGGCTGGAGCTCTGGGCAAACTGCGCTATCATTATTAACATACCTGGCACTTTGTTGGTGGGCACCGTGTGGCCGTTTCTTTGCATCGAAAAGCTCGATCCTGCAAATCTTGGCTCCCTGGCACAGCAAACTATGCAGGGACGGACTATGGAATCAGAGGGGACTAGCCACACAAGGACCACACATAAGTGATCAGTCCTGAACTAGGTACTGGCCATCTGAATCAAAACCCAAGGATGTGTTATAATTAGGCATGCTTATAGTGCTTTGAGGGTCACTGTTAGAATCGTGTCCCTCGTCTCAGGCTAAAATCCCAGATATGATTCAAAACCTGCAGGAGGAATTAATAAAAGGCAAATTACATCAGCCTGAGGCTTCGGAGTGTTTGGGTGCATATGTCTTGTTCTGGGTACTAACTCCTAAGCATTTCAGGGGGACTTAGATCTCTTAGTTCTGGGAACCAATGCTTCGCATAGTTTAAAAACACATTATTCTGTAATAGTAAAGCGAATAAGAAAGGTTTCAGATCTAAATGGGCTCCTAAAAGACTTGAGGGAGCAGAATACATCATTAACCAGAGATGAGATGAGATGAGATGAGATGAACACACACTTCTACCCACCCAGGCAATAAGGCTTCTCTCTGTTCCTGTGCCTCTCCCGGTCATAGCGGTACCCGGGGTAGCAAGTGCATAAGACTCGCCCAAAGTTATCTGTGCACTGCTGTTCACAAGGAGCTTCGGCACAGACATCATAGTCTAGGGAGAGAAAAACGGGGTTAGGAAAAATACTAATAGGATGATACTATGACAGGAAATATTTCACCTCTGCTAAGTAATAAGGTCAAGTTACATCCTTTTCGAGGACTGAAGAAACCTAGAAATACAACATTCATGACACACAAGCAAAGAATTATAGTGAAATTGTAATTGTTAATTAAGGCTTTACAGTAGTTAGACTGTTTCTTAAAGTTGGTTTTTAATCAAGGGGCGCTTTCCCAGTTTGCAGAATTTAAGAATTCTTCTCACAGAAATATTAAATTACCTAAAATATTTTTGCTGTTTTCTTCCACAAATTTTTAAGTGCTGATAGCAATGTTTCCTAAGCAAAATGCTGTGAAACACTGTGAGGCTCACTGCCAAATCTGGGCAGAAAGTATATCATAAAGAAAAGTTAATTAAAATCAAGCAATAATTGTTCAAAGCCAGATATAACCCTTCTAGCAAAGAACACATTGTTACAAAACCATCATCACTCTTAATAATAGCAATGTGAAGATTAGGGTATGGTAAGTTGCTGGCCGGGCTTGTCAGTGAAATCCCAGAAGAGTGTCTGAAGTCCATGTTTGTAACCCGAAGGAGGGTGAATCTGTTTCCGATTTTGCTGCTATGTAGCAGCAGAGCCGCAGCCTAGGGAATGGACACCGGAGCCAAACAGCGTCTCACCCACATCCCTGCGCCGGGCATCAGGCTGGTGGTGGGGCTGGGGGTACACGGGCAGCCCCCCGGCCGTGGGTGCAAGGGCTTTGCAGCGCCGTGGGGAACATCTGCCAGGAAGAAGGGAGCTGAAGGAGCATCTGGCCTCAAAACCAGGGCAGGCAAACCCTGCTGAAGGTCAGGTTTTACGCCAAAGCAAGTGGCAGTTCCTGAGATCTTTTCAGAGGAACATCATGCAGCACACGGCATCCACGTGGTTGTCACTGTGACCTGCCAGTGACTGGGCATGGGGCAGGCCACAGCAGAAATATCCTGTCCCTGCTCCAGACAAAATACGTCTAAACCAAACCTAAGTGTTTTGAGCGAGTTCCCAGCAACACACTGCGCTTCCATATATACAGCATAAAATAATTAAACCCCAAACTCATTACTGACTCATGCTAATGACTAGCAGACATGTCTGTGTATGATGATTTTTCCAAACAATTAAAATGAACTAATAGATGGTAAAGCAAGTGAAACCACATTTGCTGTACAAAGTACATAGAGCATATGTGTAGCACTGGGGGTAAAAGTGACAGCGTGCCAAGGCACAGAAAAGTGCCAAGGCACAGAAAAGCACCAAGCGAGACTTAACAAGCTGCTGTATGTCACACCAGAGCCCCTTAGACCAAAAAATGCCATTGTAATGGTGCCAAGCATTTCCTCCCTTGTGCTTGTCACCTTTTTGAATAGCGGGCATCCTTTCTTTCCTACTCCCTTCACAACAGTGTTGATTTTAACTCCTGAAGCCTGCCCGCAGTGCTGCGGCGGCGAACGGTGGTGCCAGGAGCCCCAGCAATAACCGGGGTGGAACAGCGCAGAGCCTTGCACGAGCAGGGAAGAAAAAACATGGCCCTCGCCTTCAAACGCCATCAGCCTGGGGGCTAGTTTGGGCTTTTGAGGTGATGCTGGGGCTGTAAAGTCCCGTTACATTTGGCACTGCTAAACAGTCCCAAATATAAAGGATTAGTGGTGTTTTTCCTGGGCGTGGTTGCAATTTTCGTTTTCCACTGAAATCAGATCGGATGGAGAACAGGCTAGTATGCCCAGCGCTGAGGTGAACGTGCCTGGTCCTTAGCCAGCGTGCCCACGCAGGTGCTGGATTTGGCCTGGGACACGTTCAGCCTAGTCAGAGTGGAGGCAAAACGAAGTCTGTCCTCCCTGCGCTTCCATGAATAGATGTGCCCTAATAAAATCCTAAAAAAAACAGCACTGGAAGGGACCACCTTAACCGCAAGCAGGATTTGCTATGCGTAAACCTTTCCTAATAGACATTCATTTAACCTGTACCTAGAAATCCCTGAGGGATGGAGATGTCCCACCATGCAGTCTATTCCCAAGATTAAATAACCTTGTAGATAGAAAGCTTTTTACTCATATCTAATCCAAACTCCCTGTATAGCCATTTAAGCCCATTATTTTTGTCCTCTTCTTCTTGGCCACGAAGAACAGTTTACTTCTCCCTTTGCAGCAAGTTTTCACATGCCTAAAAACCGTTATCACGTCTCCCCTCAGCCTCCTTTTCTCTAGACTAAACAACGCCAGTTCTTTTTAATCGTCTCTTTTTTGCCATATTTCCTGTAATTAGTCTTTAAATACGGTTTTCACATCCACCTTAGCAGAGCTCTGTCAAGACCATTGCTTCGTTTACTTTCATACAAAGCGAGGGAAGCGTCCAGGAGGTGGAAATCTCCCTGCTGGTGGTTCCCACACCGTCAACCCAAATTACACAATGGCTGTGGGCAATGTCACAGAGCTGTGCATCACCAGGGCTTCGGTCCCAGGTAGGACGACTCCCTCTCAAACAGTCCTCACAACTGGGATGAAATTGGGCAACAGCTGCTGCACCATGTCTACATGCTCTGCAGAACAAAGGATGCAGGCGCCCTCCCACGTTCAAGCCCCTTGTCTGCCAGCCCAACCTAAGAAACGTGGTTTGAGGATGATTCAAAGCCACATGGTGAGGATCAGGCTGTGCCAGACTTTAGGAAAATACAAAAAAAAAAAGACAAGAAATGCAGCAGAATAACAAATGTCTCTACATATTTTTCAATGAACTCAGGAATGACAATGCAGCATGTAAAGCTGTACCAAGGAAATTTCTGAAATAGCATTACTGAGGAAAGAGTATATCTGATTAGTGTTTGCCTGTCATAAAGTATTTTGCTCTGAATTAATCCACAGCCACGAAACTCATGTAACAAACCAGTGGTACCAACGGTGCTCTCCAAAAACAGCCATTTCAGACTACATCTGTCCCTGCTTTACTCTTGGTGATGCCATGAGACAGGACCTGGTTGAAGCTGTGAGTCTCCAAAGCAAAGAAGAAGAAGACCATTCAGGAGAAAAGAGGGAGGAGCTCTTTTTCGACCTGCTTTGCTGGTCAGGTGGAGCAGGAAGAGATGCTACAGGGGGAATCAGACACACAAAGCAAACCCCTCTCAAAGTTTCCTGAGGATCATTGCTCCCTGCTCCTGCAGCTGAAATCCAGAGTGAGAAGATGAGTCCAAAGCAAAGAAGATGCAGAACCTGGGAGCATGGACTCACACTGGACTGCACTTATTTCTGTTGCTTTTTAAGGGCAGACAAGAAATAACAGAACAGAAACCAACGATGGACCTGGACTCTTTGGGAAA